TTGAGAATTAAATTCTACGTGTTGTAAATATAATCGTGATGCATCGTTTCTCTGTACGTCGCTCGTGCAAAAAGGATTTATTCCGTTTCATTCTTTATTGGATAAATGAATGAGACATAAAGTGGTGGGTAAGGAGAAGAAACAGGGAATGTTACTAAATACTTTTATTGAGAAAATTAAGCTTTAATCGCATAAACCGGAAGTTCTTTACTAGTAGATTAAAATAATATTAAGCCTTCGAGAATTCCTCTGTCTTCTAATAAATCTTTTGGTAAATTAAAATAATATTAATTTGCTTCTCAGGTCTTTTTTTATAAATATAAAAAAAATTACCTATTAAAAATAAGGCTTTCATTTCTAACCTCTTTCTTAAAGAAGTTAATTAAATTCTTTTATTCTCGAGCTAAAGTAATATTAATTTGTTAATTGTTAAATCTTCCCTCGCATAACAATTGATCTCTGATAAACTTTTATTTCTGACAAACTAACTCTATTTCCAAATAAATTGACTAATATTAATTTGTTCAAAGTCTTTTCTCATATAAGAAGTTATCTCTACAATAATCTTTCATTCCTGAATCTTCGAATAAAAATTAAAATATGTCATTTATTATTTCTTACTCTCACCGTTTGCTTTAAAAAAAAAAAATATATATATTAATTTCGAGATCCGCGCAATTGTTTGTCGATTTCTGCCGCTCGATTTTAAGAGACAGAGTCAGCTGACCGAGAAATCGGGGAAAGCAAAACGGGAAGAGCAGGTAAGGAAGATTTTCATCTAGGATTCGAAGGGGAGAGGTGGTTTGCTGGCGGAGTAATTTCGAGCGGACGATAAAGATTGAGGTTTACGAGAGTGTGTCGGCGATCGAGTCGGGACGCGGCGATCGTTTACCAAGTACGAGCATTTCCGGCATAAATATGCATGATTGCGTGTTAAAATAAGAATCGGGCGTATTTAAAACGCGTCGTCGCGGGTCGCAACGTTAACGAAACGATGGAATTAATTTCCAAGGAGAATGGATTTTGCTTTTGAATTTCCCAACTCGTCCGATCTTTTCTCTGATCAACGATTGCGAGGATACAAATTCGATGTAGTAGAACTATAGTCTATCTAACGCTTTCAGTAGAACTCTGTTTTATTTCTATTTAATTCAGTGAAATTTAGTAGAATTTGTATTGTCATTCTATTTAATTTTGTAAAAAATTTAGTAGAACTTGCTACTGACTTCCTCTCCTTTATTAGTGATTTTTCGTTCATATAATTTAGTAGATTTTGTAAAATCTACTAAATTTAGTAAAATTTGTGTTTCTATTTAATTTTGCAAAATTTAGTAGAACTTTTCGTATAATCAGAGTTTAAAATTCAGATAATTGGATCCAACCAGCAAGAGTTCGTTTAATTATTAACTAAAATTTAATCAAAATAAATGCAGTCCCGTCCATAAGTCACTAGACACTTATTCATTTCGAACAAAAGTAATTATTACAAGATTATTACGACTTTTTTTTTTAATATAATTCTCTCGAATAACATGAATTATGTAATTATTCAAACAAAAGTTCATTTTGTTTAAATAATACCTAGCATTGCTTTATATTATAAATAGCAGAACGATGACTTGAAACAGACTTTGAGCATCTGTTCAAGTTACTTAAAGAATTCCGACAATGGTAACGAAATTAGGTTAGAAGTTACTAATCACAGTGTTACGAGTATTTCTTTAAATCTCATAAAACTAGAGAATCTAACTGGAGAAACATCAGCGAAATAAATAAAAAAGAAAAAAACCTTCGGAATTTCTTTTTACATTATAATCATAATATCAAAGAAACAGGATTGGCCAGTGTGAATCAGTTGATAGGGAAATGTACGAGTCGACGCCCTTGACGCTGGAAAATCTAAAAGTAAAAATGATGGGTGTAAAACTTTGCGACACAGCGTGTGAAATGCTGCACGCTCTTTTATTTCACGAACAATTATTTAAATCTCCGAAAATTCGAAACGCTGGAATTTCACAACTGTAGAACGAGTTGATCGTTTTTTATTGACCAATGGAACGTCGATAGCTCTAGTGTTAATAAAACTTCGCACTCTTTACGAATGGTCAAGTCATTCCTAATGTAAATCGTAATCGCGTCTCAATTTCATTAAGCGTCCGGTGATTTATGAACGAGAAGTGTATGTATACATATGTACATACGTTCAACGGGAGTAAGAGGCGAAAGAAACAGAAGCGAGGTGAAGTTTGGCAGGAAGGAGAGAGTGCTGGTTGTTATTCGAGATTTTGAGCTGGTCCGCGGAGATATCGTGAATTATGCATGGTCAGGTCTGGGACGCACCGGTGTCCCCGTGTCCTCCGTTCCCATGCATACCATGCATATGTCGAATGATGGATGGATGTGTCAATTTCATCGGGATCCAGTATCGATGCCAGCTATCTTCATCGGTACGAGATTACGATTGTAACCGGCGCGAAGGTTTCGAACGTGGTTTTGCTTATTGCTCTCGAAGAAGCAACGGAGAAGAAAAGGAAACAATAGCGATGATCAATCTGCGGCGAGTGTGAAAAGTAAAATGTGATTCTTAACAAAAACAGATAGCGTTTCATTGCAGTGTTTCACTTAAAATATTTTACATGTTCCTAGAGGTCTTCGCGAGATGAATTTCACGAGAAAGAATTATTCATTTTTTATTTTAAATACATTCTTCGTTCTGTAATACTATCTCGGTTATATTTACGGTATTTGAAACTCTTTTTGCCACCGTCGTGCATATATTTCTCCTCGTTTCAGTTTATTCTAAAATATTTATAGAATTTGACCATCTTTGCCGCAAGTTCTCAATGTGAAATATTTTTACGCGTTGTGACAATGTTCGAGGAGAAAGAAGAACTTTATATCCCTCTCCTAACGCACTTTGGAATAAAACGAACGACGTACTTTGAAACTGAAGAGATGCCTCAAAGATACAACACAGGAACTTCCAAAAATTGTCAAAATGACGGATTTATAATTTTAGAATTATATATAGAAAGATTATAATTTTATTATTATAATTATAATAGAAGATTATTATAATTACAATAGAAGAGAATAGAATTATAGATATTAATAGAATAGAATAGAATAGAATTATTATAATTATAATAGATTATTATAATTACAATAGAAGAGAATAGAATTATAGATATTAATAGAACAGAATAGAATTATCATAATTATAATAGAAAGATTTATTATAATTATAATAGATTAGTATAATTACAATAGAAGAGAATAGAATTATAGATATTAATAGAATAGAATAGAATATATTATAATTATAATAGAAAAATTTATTATGATTATAATAGATTAGTATAATTACAATAGAAGAGAATAGAATTATAGATATTAATAGAATAGAATAGAATATATTATAATAGAAAGATTTTATAATTTTAGAATTATATATAGAATATATATATATATATATATATATATATATATATATATATATATTATAGAAATCTCACAGATGTAAAGCAGTATATTTTTAGAGATTTAAACGATTCTTCGTGGAATAAAAGTTCCTGTATGAGATTGTACTGTAAAGTTTTTCTATTCTTTCTATTTTTAACGTTTCTGATGGAAATTTTATGCTTCAGTCACCCAGTAGTTCCATTATTTCTAATGGTTGGTTAGATTTAATTATTATAATATTTATTATTATATTTTAATTTAAAAAAGTTAATTCTTTTGTCAGACATCTAATGTCATATAACAAGCTGAATATAAGCTTTTAGCTTCCGACGATAAATTAAAAACATTCACATAATTATTAGATTAATATTAATTTTTAAAATTAAATAAATATATATATATATATATATCATATATTATTTATTATTTAACAAATAAAATAATGAAATTTAACTTTTCTAAATTATATTTACATTATATATTCATTAAATACATTTATATATATATATATATATTATATATATATTATTTATTATTTAACAAATAAAGCAGTAAAATTGAATTTTTTTCTTTATAACATATTTGTTTTATTATATTAATAATAATTGTAAACGTTTGTTTACTGAACCGAAAAGTTTGTTTACTGTACGTGACAAAAGTCCTGGCGTCGGCGATCATATTAACGTGGGCAAGTGACGAACAACAAAATGCAACAAGATCGAAGGAGCGGGAAATGTGTCGAAAACGAACGGCGACGACTCGGCACGACTCGGTTTACTCGGGGCCCGTAGCAGGGCTCGACCGGCCGTCACACAGCCTAAGGATCCTTCTTTGGGCGCAGACACGCAATTAACTACAGGCTATATTCCTTCGGCGTGGTGGAGAAGAACACCGGGGGAAGAAAGGGAGAGAAAAAGAGATGGGAGCGAGCCGTGGTCGGGCGAAAAGGGCAGCGACTCTCAGAGCGCTCGGTTCTTGTCCGGTGAGGGATCGGGGCGAACGGTCGGTAAGGAAGGAGAGACACGGCCGAGGCTGAAACGGGTCGAGAGATACCACCCATCCCCCATAAAAGCTTCCATGCGTGTCAAGCGTTATACGACCACGTTACTATTAAATACGTCAAAGCTTCGTATGTTTATTGCATATTGGATGCCGTGCACTTTGGCTCCTCTGCCGATCGCTATAACCCATAGCCCGTAACCCATAACCCATAACCTGCAACCCGAACCGATCACCGTTGTCATTCTACAGTCGAATACCTAGAGCGTCTACTCTTTTCTCCGCGATTTTCTTTCTTAAGATTAGCGGAGTGCTAAAATTTTTCGATGCGTGTTTTTTCGTACCTCGAATCATTTATTAGCGGATCTGTATTCTTCCGTATGTTGTTAATCGATTTTTTTTTTTTATAATCGTTTTTAGTCCCGCGGGAAATGCTTTTGACAGGGGATCCGTGCAGTACGTTGTGAGTATTGAAAAATTATTGTAAATGCGAACTGAAATCAGCTGAAAAAATCAATCGAATCGCATTTTATATCAGTGCAACGGTCTGGGTATAATCCTCGACGATGTTTCCTCTTTGGGGTGGTTTTGTTGTAATACGTTGCATCGTGTCAGATTCAATCGTACATCATTTGTATTTGTAGAGAATTAAAAGTTGAAAATTCAAAATTCTTGTCTCTTGAATCGAAAGCACGAGTGTAAATATTATAATTCAAAGGCGAAGGAGTTGAAAAACGTTCTTAAACGCAACGTTTCTTTTGTGTTTCTTCAAATCGACGACCCTGTTACGCGATGCGTATAACTAAAAATTATACTTATTTAAAGTTTCACAGAATTATTTATTTGAACAAGACAAGACTTCCACCTCGGTACTTATAGATACTAGCTTATGCTTGCTGCTAATGCTAAACTATTTCTGTCTGTGAAACCTTCTGCTGCTTTCCTATTCGTACTTTGCTTCCTGATCTTGAAGTACCTTAGGACGATTCACGCATGATTCCTAACCTTCCTCCGATTCGAAGTGCCGATCTCCGTGAATATAATGTCTTACGATACGTAATAGTGTTAAGAAACAGTCTTTTATAACTTTAGCTGAATCACGAAATTTTCTTCAGCAACTTTTGTAGTAGAATCTTTGTTCACTATTGTAGTCAACAGTCGGTCGCTTGAACGCTCTCGACTTTGCTTTAATTCCTTCTCCCAGTTTCCGATCGCGACAATCGTGGCTGAACCGGCGTAATTCGTTGTCACGGAACTCGAAACTCGAAGATGCTCGATGCTCGTCGTTCGGTACGAATCCGGGTGTGTTGCTCTCGTCGTCGATGGAAACACATCGGCGAGCACCGCTCTGAAACAGAAAAGGCAAAGAAGCAAAAAAAAAAAAAAAAAAAGGAAGAAAAGAGAGAGAGAGAGAGAGAGAGAAAGAGGAAAAAGGAAAAAAAAAGAAAAGAAACAAGCGAGAGGGAGAGAAGAAGGCGCGTGCGCGCGTTCGTGCTTTCTCTTTCAGGATGAACAAACGCGGATGCAAAAGAAGTCTCTGAATGAGCGATGCCTACGGACAGTATGGAGCTTCTCCGTTATTAGCATCTACTCGGTTTCCTTGTGCCGGCGTCCGTGTGACGCACACACCGGCCGAAAGGGAACAGAGCGGTCATTATGGAGATTGAAACACCGTTCGGTAACACGTTCGCTTCGCTCTTTCTTTCGCTTCGTTTCGTTTCCTTTCCTTTCCTTTCCTCTCTACTCCTCTCCTCACCGCTCCTCTCCGCCCTTCTCTCCACCCCCTTCCACCATTTCGTTTCGTTTCGTTTCGCGTGCTCGTTCATTCGCGCTCCGCGTAATCATCTCCGCGAATAAAGAGAAACGACGTTGCAGGTAGCGTGCACCCACCGCGCGACAACCGCGCGATTTCCCGTTGTGCTTGGTTTCTTTTTTTTTCCTTTTCATTCGTTTTTTCATTCAACGGCTGTCAAAGAGGATCGTCGGCGACGAATCGCGTTCTCTCGTTTATCGACCGACCAATTGCCGGACGTCCGTCGCAGATTAACGGCGATCGACTTTCCGTCGTTGCGTCGTCTTTGCGTTGCTTTTTTAAGTTGCAATTAACGTAAAACCTCCCGATGTAAGACGTCACAATTGACAAAATCGTTCCGCGTGTAATTATAAATTATACATATATAATTTCGGTTGCTTCTGATATTATTTAGAATAACATTTCTTCACAATTGTTATTTTCGTGACATTCGTTTCAACCTAACAAGTAACAAATCTATATAAAAATATAATAGAGCCTGTCGAGGTGCAACTAATTTGTACAACTGATGATTCCCCACTGTCATTGCGCAGTTCTGTATCTGACCAAAAATTCGAGCCGCATCGAATGGCATCAAGCCAGAAAAAGGAATTGATCATGGAACGATTAACTCGACAAATCGATTAACTCATAATTATAAACTACACGTACAATTTTGGTTGCCTCTAATGTTATTTAGAATAACATTTCTTCGCAATTGTTATTTTCGTGACATTCGTTTCGACCTAACAAGTAACAAATCTATATAAAAATATAATGGAGCCTGTCGAGGTGCAACTAATTTGTACAACTGATGATTCCCCATTGTCATTGCGCAGTTCTGTATCTGACCAAAAATTCGAGCCGCATCGAATGGCATTTGGCCAGAAAAAGAAATTGATCATGGAACGATTAACTCGACAAATCGATTAACTCGTAATTATAAATTACCCGTACAATTTCAGTTGCCTCTAATGTTATTTAGAATAACATTTCTTCACAATTGTTATTTTCGTGACATTCGTTTCAACCTCAACAAGTAACAAATCTATATAAAAATATAATGGAGCATGTCGAGGTGCAACTAATTTGTACAACTGATGATTCCCCATTGTCATTGCGTAGTTCTGTATCTGACGAAAAATTTGAACCGCATCGAATGGCATTTGGCCAGAAAAAGAAATTGATCATGGAACGATTAACTCGACAAATCGATTAACTCGTAATTATAAATTACCCGTACAATTTCGGTTGCTTCTGATATTATTTAGAATAACATTTCTTCACAATTGTTATTTTCGTGACATTCGTTTCGACCTAACAAGTAGCAAATCTATATAAAAATATAATAGAGCCTGTCGAGGTGCAACTAATTTGTACAACTGATGATTCCCCATTGTCATTGCGCAGTTCTGTATCTGACGAAAAATTTGAACCGCACTCGAGACGCATCGAATGGCATCTGGCCAGAAAAAGAAGTTGATCGTAGAACGATTAACTCGACAAATCCCCCCCTCCACCCCGAGAATACGACGACGAAGAGACAGGGTTCGCGTATCCTGTTGTCATTGCGACATCGGCTAGAACATCGTTCGTCTATCCGGCGAACGTACTAGGAATTCGAGCGGGCAACGCTCGGCACGGCCACTCGCACAATCCTCTCTCTCTCTCTCTCTCTCTCTCTCTCTCTCTCTCTCTCTCTCTCTTCCTTTTCATTGAAACGAGCAATTCTCGAAAAGCGTGCACGCGTAGACGCGGCGGTAAACAGAGGACGACACGGGCTGGTGAGCGGACAATGTGCCCGGGGAGCCCGGAAAGACAACGCGAATCCATCATCTCTGTAGGAGTAGAGGCTGAAAGGGCTTTGCGGCACCGCACTCTGTGTAATTGTGGTCCCGGCCCCTGGTGGCCCGGACTACACCCCGACCAGCACCCCCTTTCTGGCTTACCGCGATACGTATGGCTGCCCGGCAACCTCCACCCAGCTACTCAACCCTACCCTCTCCACTGCTGGTCCTCCACTTCTCTCTTTCTCTCTCTCTCTTTGCTTCTCGTTTTCGCGCGAAACTGCACGTACTGCCCGTGTAGCTGGTCAACCCCGTCGCGCTCCCACTCTCTTCGTTATCCCGGACGAAACGCGAAACGTTGTTCCATTTCTTTCTCGAAACCAGTTGCCGCTCTTGCAAACGTCTTGCGATACTTTTTATCTTTTTGATGTTCGACACTTCGTCGCGTAATTCGGTGTATATATATGTATATCTTGTAATGAACGATATGTTAATGTGTTTTGATAGCTGCCATGACGACGTTGGTTCGAACGAGTAAAATGAATGGTCGTTGAGTAAAAAATTTTGAACATCATAGGTGACTGGGTACAGATGGTATTACGGAGTAAAGAAAAATGCACTGTTAAACAATTAATCTTGATTCATATCTTAATTAATATTAATTAATATTGTATTGCAAAAATTAAGCATTTGTGTATTGTATTATATGTTGTGTGCCTAATCTCGCGTGGCAGTCAACGTGTTAATATTTATTGCAGTGAATTGTAGCCAATGTGTAAAATTCAGACAACTGTCATTATATTTTTTTAAAAATTTGTACTTTCGGGAAATAGCGGCTCAAATTTACGTACGACTTAATGTAAAATTAAGAAGAAACAAAATCCCACGCAGATAGATAAACGGTGTCTCTGATAAAACCACAGCTAAATGATTGCCACGTCTCTCTATATTTAAATTCCTATTTTTAGCAATTGCTAATCACTATTACAAATTTTTAGTAATTACTAATTGAACAACATGTAACAAGACATACATATTATCTGTTTCAGTGAGGCATAATTTTATCTCCGAAAAATTCGCGAATTTTCCTCACCTCGCAAACACTTTGAATACATATATATATATATCCCCTTCGTCAAAAATACATCCATTCCATCTGTTCGGCGAGCTCATTTCCTTCGAAGATGATGTCACGTCTACGTGCGATACTAGCTGGTGTGATAGCTTTACTAGGATACTTCTGCTTTCTCTTCTCTTCACTGCACTACATTAACATCCCACCGCTTCTCGAGGGCGAACTGCTATCGCGAACCAGAACAGTTGCATAAAATGTTCTCAACAAGTTCAAAAGGAACGATGATTAGTCGATCAGACGAACTAGGGAGGAAGGAACGTCTCGATGATGCGACGCGTCGAATGGTGGGGTGTCGAGGTCAGCCAGTACGAGATACACCGACGAGACGCGGCCGAGGTCCACGGGGGTTAGACCCCTGTGCCCTGTAGAGGTCCGGGTCCCCGATTAAGAGGTTCTTCCTCGTGGCCGTACGGTTCGCGTAACTCTCATTCTCCCGTTATTTTTCCCCTCCGAGTTTCACTCGTGGTAGACGGCGTGGCTGCGAAACTCGAGATAGAAAGTGCAGCTTCCTCGCGACCTCGTCGCCCCTCTGCCTCTTCTTTCCCTTTTTCCTTTCTCTTCATATCGTTCCATTTCTTCTTCTACACAAAATACACAGCCAAGCAGGACGCAGGACGTCGAATCTTTCATCAACATCTTACTCCGATAAATCTTCAAACTCGAATTTTCTCGCGGGGCTCTAGCATTAGCTGCTCACCAACCAGCCAGTGTAGATACGACGCAATTACTGTCGGCGATCAGCTCGCAAATTACCCGCACCATTGTACGTACACATTTCCTTACCCGTTTTCTCCTCCTGTCGTCTTCCTGTCGTTTCTTCGTTGAAAATGGCGTTCTCGTTCACGGTTGACTCCAGCGTGTACGGTGGTCGAGGTTGCGCAGGGTTCGCCCCCGAGCCACCGGAGATAGATGGCAGAGTTCCGCGGTGCGCGCCCACATAGCAGCAATGTAAGTCGTGCCTTCTTTATGGGCCGGCCCGTGACCCCGCTACTTGTAAACCGACTAAAGATTCAGAAATAGCCGTCGCACGGCGCCGTGCCGCTTTTCTTTTTCCATCGCGACACGGCCTTTGCTCGCTCGCTTCTGTCTTTCTCCCTTTTTTTTTTTCTTCCTTTTTCCTCTTGGCTCTTTCTCTCCTTCTTTTCATCCGTCTCTCGGACATCGACGAGAGAGAGAGAGAGAGAGAGAGAGAGAGAGAGAGAGAGAGAGAGAGAGAGAGAGAGAGAGATCGTAACTTATCGTACCGCAATGCGATCGAAGCGAGGGAATTCGCGAGGGGCCGAATGTCGTCGGCTGGTCCTCTCCTCCGCGTTTATTCGTCACCGGTGTGGGTAAATTTGTCCTTTTAGGATGAGGTCGAGAAAGTATCAGTTTTTAATAGTGGGAAAATTGCTGACATTTTCAAAAAATCGATCTTTTTGTTTGTTTTAAATAGTTGTTTAATGTCTTAGAAATAAGATGCAAAAGGTCCTAGCCTTTGAAACGACTTATTTTGCAGTATAATCAATCCGCGGATTATTACAGAAATAATTGAATTTGTATCACTGTTTACAACTTGAAGCAGTATTATAAAGTGTGAATCGTGCGATTCGAATATTACTTTTAGTGAATCGAATATTAAGGGTGTTGGATTCAATTTGGTTGTGAATTACCGATTAATTAACTAGCTTACTCTACGTATTTACCATTTACTAACTTCTCCAACAGTTCCTTCTCTTCATATTGTCGCAGCTCTCTAACCAGTGCTTTAGAGTCTGCCCCTATTGCTTAATTTACATCTTCTTTTTCCCTCATCCAATCACAATATCTATTATACGGCATGTTATTTCTATTATTTATCAGATCGTCACTTATTTACAGTGTGTTATTTCATGGTGGTCATAGGACTATTAAGAACTCGTCTTATTGTTAGAAATCTATCTTGAATCTTCTATAGAAGTTGTTATGTACTCGGCTTGATAAGATTGCACTGGAATATTCCAAACGTGTCAGAACTAACGTTCTGAGAGTGATTCAGGATTTCAAAAAGCAAGAAATACAATCTAAGAGATCTATCGAGTATGTATTCAAAATATGATGGTTAAATTGTAAAAGTATCATCATAGTAAATACTAAGATCCTCCATTGTAGCTACAATATAGAATATAAAAGTCTAGAATATAAAATGTAGAATATAGAATATACAGAATACAGAATTTTGTTCATCTTGCGCATTATTCTCGGTTACATAACGTTCGATTATCGTGCAAACACTCAAGTTATTTAGATTGTATTTATTATCATTATAAAAAAAAAGAAACACAATCTAAGAGATCTATTGAGTATGTGCTCAAAATATGATGGATAAATTGTAAAAAATCATCATAGTAAATACTAAGATCCTCCATTGTAGCTATAATAGTCTATAATATAGAATATAAAAGTCTGTAATAAAGAATATAAAAGTCTATAATATAAAATATGAAAGTCTGTAATAAAGAATATAAAAGTCTACAATATAGAATATAAAAGTCTATAATATAAAATATAAAAGTCTACAATATAGAATATAAAATACAATATAGCATATACAGAATTTTGTTCATCTCACGCATTGTTCTCGGTTGCATGACGTTCGATCATCGTGCCAACACACCCAAGTTATTTAGATTGTATTTATTATTATCATCAAAAAA